AGCTATCTCCTCTTTCTTCCGAACGATCTACGTGTGTTCGCTCTTCTCGTGGCACGCCAGATGGAAGCTCTCCCTGGGTATGCATTCGTCGCTCTCGTAACTGGGCGAGCTCTTTCTTCATATCTTCCATTTGAAGGACACCATTCTCGCGTTCCTGTTCAAGCTTTCGGATGCTCTCCTTCTGAGCAGCGATCTGGATCGACAAATATTCTTCTTCTCTCGCGCTTCTTTCTGCGGCCGACGCTTCTTTCTTTTCGTTCTCTCGAGCCTCCTTTAGTTCGCCTTCGAGTTTGTGGACCTCTTCTTTGTGTATTGCTAGTCTTCGTTGTTCTACACCCAAAGCGATTTGCTGATCTAACAGATCCATGAGACTTTGAGTGGTTTCTTTGGTTTTGTCCCCATGGGCCTCCTTGTTATTCGGATTGTTCCGATCGGACATTTCGCCTATAGATGTTTTATTCGGGAGGATCTCCTGCGGGGATACATCCATGATATCCCTTGAATTCTTGGTGGGAGGAGTTTTAGTCCCCAATTCGGTTTCTAACCGTTTCGTGATGCCTTCTCCCTTCATGATATTACTCACGCCCTAGCTCTGACTCGCTAATGTTCCCACAGACGGCGCCACTTAAAGGTGTCGAAAATTCGCACCTTCAAGAATTTTCCACCGGGACCCTAATTATGAATCTTCCGGTAAAAATTCTATTATGATAAAAATCTTTTTTGATCTTTTTTATTATTTTCTCTCTTTATGTCTTTCTTTGTACTGTTGTCTATGTGTATCCGCTTCGACGATGATTACAAAGGTCTTTATAAGCTAATTGTTCCCGGCAATTAAGGGGACAGATTTCGTCCATTACTCCCGTTTTTCCTCCTTGGTCTTGATCTTGGGCCTTATATAGAAGATCTGATTGCCCCTCCCTCTCATTCTCATGCTGAAATCGCGCCCTCTTAACTCGCTTGGGCCATGTTTTCTCGCCCACGTTCAATTCCTCTGGGCCTTGTTTGAGCGTGTTAGAGAGAAAAACCATACGCCATCTTATGGGCTGAGCTTTGCTCGATAGGTTGATTTGGGCTTAGTTGTAGCGAGATTCGTCCCGCTTGGCCCAACCCCTATGTGGGCTAGCCTTTTTGCACCCGGGCCCATTACAAATGGCTAGGTTGACAAACTGGGCCCTATCAAGGGGGGAGAGAGAAACGGAAGGATGTTCTTGTTCTGACAGAAATGTATACATACATCTATCTGCAGTAAGTATCACCCACGCCACTGAGTGAAGAGAGAGAGGAGGAGGAGGAAAAATAGTTGACTTGTGCTGGTCCCAACCTGAATTGACCGATATACCCTCACAAGTACACAAAAAGCCAAAACAGGCTCTTCGGCTTGTTATTTATTTATAATATTTTTATAGTTTCATTTTCAAGTTTTTAAAATTTTATTATATATAATTCAATTTTCCAACCAAGAGGGTTAAATATATATTTAAATCAAAAAAAATTATTTTCAACTAATCCACAATTATATAGAGTAAAATATTGATAAATTAATAACCTCGTTTAATTAATATTCTTTTTCGATTTCAACTTGAGGACATGGTGTTAAAAATATATATTGTCAAATTAATATTTCGCTAAATTAATAGAATTTGACTAGTCCCGATTGTATTAATTTATTAATGCCTAAGTTTAAAAGTATTCATGAATTATTCAGAAATCAAACGAGAAGTGCAAATCGAAAAGATTAGGTGTTCCTAGTTCCCTGATTCATCGAATTATTTCTTTATTTGGATTTGTCCATCTTAATTTTTCTTAATTGAATATTGTCCAAGTATATAAAAAACAAGATTATATAAATTGAGGTGGCAAAATCACTCTCTTAATCATTTTCTTCCTCATTCTTTTCAGTCCAAGAACCAAACATACTGAATATAATTCCAAGTGAAATATCCATTATCTTAAATAAATAAATAAATAAATAAAACTACTACTTATTTTCAATTATTAATTTATTTAATCAAAAAACAACACAGAACAGATGTAATTATTCTCCAATAACAAGAACCATCTAACATTCATCTGGGAAAAGCACAGAAGATCCAAAAGTTCTTATATTCTCAAGATCGCCGTGCGCTTGTGCAAGGCCGGTTCTGAGAGGAGGCGAAGTAGGCGGTCTGTCGCCTAGGGCCCCTGATTTTTTATAAAAATTTAGGACCCCAAAATTTTTTTATACCCTTTATATATTAGTATTTATTTAAAAAAAAATATATATTATATGTATAGTTATTGCGAACACTAATTCATGAATAGATATTGATCAACGATTTTTACTTATTTATATAATTTCTCTAATCATGGGGCCCCCAATTATAATAGTGAATTAGCTATTTATTTTTATATATTTACATTTGTTTTAGTGCTACTTAATGAAAATTATCCTTAAAAAAAATCAAGGGCACTGCCCCCGAACCCCCGGAAATTTATTGCATTGCCTCTAGCTATATACCTTACAAAAACGAGTTCAAATAGATTTTATCATCTTTTTAGAAAGAGTTTTAAAGTAGATTGTAGAAGGGCTTCATTTTTCAACCATCTTCAAGTCTCGCCTAGGCCCCCAAAATCTCAGGAACGGCCCTGCGCTTGTGCTGCCTTAGATAACGGGTAAGTATGATTCACACGAGCCCTTAAAACACCCGATCCAACATTCGTAAAAAACCTCCGACATTCGTATAACAATATACTAATATTTTGGTAAAAATTCATAATTATTGAGCTTTAATAATACCGTTTCGACTTCAAACGTGATTTTGATCATTTTTTATTCCAAAATTTGCAAAACCCGAAAAATAGAATTTGTAGTATTTTGAGTTAATTTTCTAATCCAATTTGAATCACAAAAAATGGATGTCGGACGAGAAAGATATACATGAATCAATGAATATTGCCCACAACTTTTATGTGTTGAAGTATCTAAAATTCAAAATGTGACGTATTCATGCATAACTTTGTCACACGACATCCAATCTGACGGATTTAAGTTGGATTAGAAAGCTAACCCAAAGGACTACAGTTTTCGTTAGGGGTGAGCAAAAAAACCGAAAAACCGAAAAACCGAACCGAAAACCGAAAAAACCGAGCCGATATGTACCGTCCCGACTTAAAACCGCATACACAGTAAAAATCTTTTGAAAAACCGAAAATATCGGTTTGTGTATGGAGAATTTAAAAATTACCGAACCGATTTCCCGAACCGAACCGATTTATACAAAATGATGTATTTTTTATATATATTATAAATACTTACCCTAGCGTGCCTCTATCTTTCGAGCGCCTCCATGTGACATCGTTTTTTATTAATTAATTTTGGTTGTGACCTGTTTTTTATTAGTTAATTTTCGGTTGTTATTTGTTAATTTTCTCAAATAAATATAATGAAAGTCCAAATATATGGGTTTTATGCCGAACCGGTTCGAACAAATAGACGAAATCGAAACCGAAAATAAACCGAATTGATACCGAAACCGTTAACCGAAAACCGAAAAACCGATTCACACCGAACCGAAAAAAACCGACATATTCGGTTTTTTAAATATGAATAACCGATATTATCAGTACGTGTTTGGTTTATTGGAAAAACCAAGCCGTACCGACCCGTGCACACCCCTAGTTTTCGTGTTTCGAATTTCGCCAAAATCAAAATAGAAATATGTCAAAATCATGTTCAATGTCAAAACGGTATTAATAATAAATTGAAACGACATTTAACATCTCAGTTACAAAAATATTAAAAATTTGTAACTTTTCAAATGACAATTCTTCAGCAGATCTGGTTCACTGTTATTGCTTCTTTAATTAATGCCTGTGAACGTCAATTACACATGATTTTTTTTCTTCTTGAGATTTTTATGTTAGTGTATAACATTAATAATGTATTATTGCAAATCGTAAAGTCTAATTACAAGGCAAATGCCTCATATCTTTTTGTTTTTATTGAATGATTTTGCACAATATATTTAATCATCTTGATAACCGAAAATACATATATTTTTTATATATAATTACCAATTCAATTTGCATATCTATTTTTTATAGTAACGAGCAAACCCGCAACTGGTTATATTCTTGACTGAAACTTTGGATTCTATTAGTCCACAAATTTTGTCATCCTTGCTATATGAGTGAACTAAAAGAATAATAACTTCCTAAAACTTTTGTATAACATGTGTTTGAAATACTAGGAGATACCTTAAATTATTAATAAAAAAAAGTATAGTAAAAAAGTATGAGCTCTCATAATGAGATGTATGTTTGAAGTATTAAGAAGTACCATAAACTTACTAATAATTTTTTTATAATAAGAAATATGAGTTTTTAGAATAAGATATAAGAAACATTTAATAACTCATCATCTCATTATTCTCAATGTTAAAACTTTAGTTTTAATAAGATAAGGGTAAATTACAACTACCTCTGAGGTATCGTCAAATTATGAAATTAAACCCTTCTTGTTTAGGTAATTACAACCATCCCCTCAACTATAAATATTCTTACACGTCTACCATTGTGGTTTCAAATTTAGAGGAATCTTCTAAATTATATGGAATATTCTCAATTTTGTATTCATTTTATCTTATTCGAGCTCCACATTTTTGAAGCAAGATGGTCGTAAGATGTGTTTTTTGGCTTGTATATATCAAATTTTAGTGCACCAGAACTGTATTTTTGCACAAAACAAGTACAAAGTAGAGAACATTACACGAAATCTAGACGATTAGCTTGAATTTGACATCATAAGGGTGAAGGTGTAAGGAAAATTCATAGGTGAGGGGGTAAATATAATTATCCAAACAAGATATGGTTTTTCGTAATTTGATCATTCATGGTGGTTGTAATTTACCTATAACAAAATTGTTTTTTGGTTTTGGTTTTGGTTTTGGTTTCGGTTTGTTATATTAAATAAAAACGACTTTCACAATAAATATCAGTAGTTGGCCCAGTGGTTTACTTCAACGGCGGAAAACTTTTCCCATCTAGGGTTCGAGTTCCAGTCTTCTCTTTTCGCACTTTCTTTTTTTTTTTTCCCAGAAAATGGATCCAGATCCGCCTAAAGCAGCTCCAAGGAAGGTCCGCTCTTCATTTTCATTTTCCTGTTTTTTTTCCCCTTCTTTTTTCCTTTAATTCTATTGTATATATATATATATATATATATATATAATTAATCCGTATTTTTTTGGTTTAATTTTCATATGTTGTGTTCATCAGGTGAGATTTGCTCCAAAAGAACCCCGTCGGAGAACACCCAAACCCAGTTCCTTTAAAATGTACTCTTCAAAATTCAATTTGTTGATTTAATTTTTTTTTTTCCGTTTCATATGTATGATTTGAAATCTAAAACGAAATTCGCAGTGAACCAGCACCCGAGGTTGATGATACCGACGATTTAGAAGCTCAAGAATTTCTCACTCGCAAAGTCAAAGTAATCTCTCCTCTCTCTCTCTCTCTCTATCTCTCTCTCTCCCCTCTGTGTGTGTGTATATATATATATATATATATATATATATATATATATATATATATATATATATATATATATATTATATACGTATTTTTATTATTACTTGTTAATTGTGGTTCTGTTCTGTTCGTCTTTCTAGTTTTAGTTTTTGTCAAATGGGCTTTTACTTTTATTATTATTATTATTATTATTATTATTATTATTATTAATTTTTATTATTATTATCTTATATTATTATTCTTTTGTAGTTGGGGACAAATTGCCAAATTGCTCCATTTGCTTGAATAATTATAAACAATGACTATGTTAACAGCCCAATTAATGAGATCATTGGGGCACGAGCTCACAATACAAAATTAATTTTAAATTACCTGATTTTTTTTTATTTGAGGAAATAAATAAATTATGGGAAAACATTTGCTATTTATGAAAAATGATGGTAAATTAGTATACAAAACATTGCAGCATTATGTAATTGTTGTCACTTGAAAAGATTTCTAATCAATGGTAGTAGTGTGCTACAGATCTTCTTACTGCTATTCTGTTTATACGGTGTAGGAGCATCTAGCAAGACGAGGAAGACCGAAATCCGAGAATAAAGGTAATATATTTCTCTGCAAATTCGGAAAAAAAATCGACTTTCTCATGTTCGATACTTCAATATTTATGCATAATCGGAACCGAAGTTCTATTTAAAGTTGGTGTATATGTGTAGAAAAATGTTAATATTTTCTTGATCCTGGATAGATTAAGTTGGAATTTGTAGACTAATTATTGAAAAAAAAAATACAGGTCGGGTACAAGTTGCGTTTTCGAATGATGTCGGATCGAGTTCCATAAGGACATTTGGCAGACAAAAGGAAAGCTCCGATGTGGGACATGATGCAGTCGACTCGAAAGAGCTTACCCCTAATGGCGTTCAAAATCTCGTCACTTCTATGTCGATTACCGGTTTGACTAACGGTGTGACCGTGACGAAGAAGAAGAAAAGGGAATATAAAGAGCCTTGGGTACATAAATAGCATTTTACTCGTCTCTCGCACACTAAAGAATGAAGTCTTTTTTGCAGGCTAACCATTTTGATTTATCTGCCTCTGCAGGATTACGAAAATAGTTACTATCCTACTACACTACCTTTGCGTAGGCCGTACTCTGGAAATCCAGGTATTATTTATTATTCCCGACTCGTCGTAAATAAGGAATATTCTCTCTTTTCATGGCTGCAAAATTACGCGGAATTTTCATATATGCCTCTCTTTTCCCCTTAGAACTTCTTGATAACTCGGAATTTGAAGATGCTGTGGAATACGATGAAGATTCTCTGTCCTCTGCTTCGGGTCTTGGTTTGCTGGTTAGTGTTCGTTGTTCAAGTTGATTTAAATATAGGTGGTACGAGATTTGTGCTTCGTAGTCCAATTTGCGACTTTTTTTTTGGATTGACAGGACGAAGATGCTAATACTCCAAAGATGCTATTTTTCCAGTTTCCGTCCAATCTTCCAACAGGCAAACGTGCTGCTTCCAAGGGCAAAGAGATAGCTGGCACAAATTCAAGGATTTTAGCTACTTCGATAAATCCACCGAAAGAAGGGTCTCGTTTAGAGGAGTTGCCCGATGGATACATGGGCAAAATGTTGGTGTACAAAAGCGGTGCTGTCAAGTTGAAGTTAGGAGGCGTTCTCTACGATGTAAGTCACTCTGCTTCATGCTTCCGTAATTTCCAAGCAGTTCAAGCACGATAGTTCGTCGTCTTTTTGTTTTAGTGTGAAAGTGATTTTTTTCTGACGTGAAACGATTATTTAAATTTACGGGTTTTTTTTAAGGGTTTGATTACATACTGCAGGTTTCTCCTGGTTCTGATTGTATGTTTTCTCAAAGTGTGGTGGCGGTGAATACGACCGACGGAAGCTGTTGTGAGGTCGGGGAAGTGAACAAACGAGCTATCGTCACCCCTGATATTGGTTCTCTTCTAGTAGATAATAACAATAATAATGTAATTGATTTGGGGTAAGATAAATTCATTTCTACACTACAAAACCTACTTAAGATGCAATTTTATGGGGTATTAGACATTATATATCAGAAGAAAAGTAGAGGTGCACATGTTGCAGATTTCTTTTTTTTTTTTTTCTTTTTTTGTATGATTTTTCATTATTTCAGGCAGTGATAAAAACCAAAAAAAAAATTGAGGAAAAAAAAAAAAAACATGTTTTTCACTGGATGTAGGGTCGAAGGAACCCCTTTCTTGATTGTAGAAAATAATAATACTAATAAAATATGTATATATATGGGAAAAATCCAGTTTTTATCCCTCAAATTTGCATTGACTTCATATTCGGTCCATCATTTGAAAATTCAACACTTTAATCTTTTCCATCAACTTTCTGTTAATACTAACGGAATCAAGATGTGCCCATCACTAACTTAAATGACGGATTAATAGTAAATTAATGCAAAAAGACCATAAGTGTTAAGACATTAAAACATAAATGATAAACATGTTTTTATTTTTAATATGGGGGTTAAACATGAAATTAGTACAAACTTGTGGGAAGATAACTATAATTTTCCCAAAAATATAAATATATAAAGTTTGAAGGAAACAAAGAAAAGGGGAAAACACAACTAGGGTTTGGAGAGTGTTGTGAATCCGGCGAGCGGACGGCATGAAGAAAGTATCGAAATTGGTGCCGCAAAGGAATGCCTGGAGGTTTCTCCTTCCAGGCAATACCACGACGACGACGAGGAGGCATAGGAAACGAAAAACAAAGAAGAATCCAGAATGGAAAGGGTATGGATATTATTATTTGGGTAGGAATGGATATGATACGCATCTCAGGTGTTGGTACAATGGTCAAGTTCAGAGCAAATCCCAACCGCCCTTATCCTCTCGGCTTTTCGGGTCTAATCGTCAAGTTCAGAGCAAATCCCAACCGCCCTAATTATCCTCTCGGCTTTTCGAGGTATAAAGAATATAAAAAATATGCCGAAATTGCTCTCGATGTCTACAACAAACACACATGTACGTCTCTCTCTCTTCATCATCAATAATTGCTTCTTATTCTTTTAATTAATTATGTGTGTGTGTATGATTGTGTGTAGCCCATCAAATACAGTTTAGTTGACCTGAAGCTCGTAGTTGGACAAAACGTAAGGCAGCTGCTGGATGTAGTTTACACCGCCAAGCCTAACTCCGATGCTGATGTTCATAATAAAAATCCCACAACTTTTCGAGCTGATTTTCATGTCAGTTATTTAAAACTTTTCCCACCAAATTAGGCCTTTGCCTAGGGCCCCCAACTTATATGTATTATAATTGGGACCCCAAAAATTATGTTTACTATACAATTAGGGCCGTCAAATACAAAATAAAATTTATATTTTCTTATTTAAATAAAAAAATTATTAATATATATAGCATGAATTTTGTATAAATATAATATACTAATTACTAATCTTCATATGTGTATTTAAACTAAAATAAAAATATCCAAAATATTGAATTTTATATTAAAAAAACTAATGTAAATGGCCCCAAATTTATTTTTTTGCTTAGGGCCCCATATGGCCTTGAGCCGGCCCAGTGTCAGTACTTATTGTGTCAAGTCTGTTGAAATTGGACAAGTTCAGATTTAGATTTAGATACCCGCACTCAATACTCATCTAGTGTTTTAAAAATATTTTTTTCTATTTTGTTCATTCATCAATATGTAGAAAATCAAAATTCAGCACGATGAAAATAAATAATACATAATTGTTGCTCAAAACCAGCACCAATAATCATAATGCTGGTAAATATCACAAAAAATGGAAAAAAAGAAAATAACATCATGCTGTAAAAGATTATAGATACACGCTCTTTCTACCTGCCTCTCTTCTTCCCCTTGAAAATTTTGTTGTGCGGTCTACATTCTTTGATGAGAGGAAAAAAAGAGGCTCAAACATTTCAATTCAGTATTTCATACCGAAAAATAAAACCTATAACACACACAGAAAAGGGGAGAAGTGTACATACCTGAATTGGCAAAAAATCAGGCGCCATTGAAACATACACTGATCACTCCAAACTTGTAGCTTCATATATATGGTTGGAAGGGGTTGCCGCCGTCGAAGAGAGAGGATCTTTGACATTAAGGAAGGAAAAAAAAAACAGGCTTGTGAGTAGAGAACGATGAAAGAAAAGCCAAAAGAAACAGCAGCCGATCGAGCGTTTTCCAGAAAAGAGAAAAGGGAAAAAATATTATTACAGCTCCATCGCAAGAGCAGATATGTCAACAATTCTATGTAATTTACAGTACGCAGCAGATATAAAATCAAAGGAGATGCAAACATATAGTAAAAGTAGAATTTAATCAAGACAAGGAAATTCAGGTAAGAGAGCATATTAAAAAACGAATGCATAACAGCAAGAAGAATAGTGTCAAATCAACCTAAACAGAAACCAATATCAGCCACATCAATATTGACGAAACGTTACAGGGAAACACATGGAAAAATAATCGAAGTAAATGGTAAATATAGCAACTGATTAGCATTATTACCTAACGAAACGTAATTTGCAAAGGACTGCAAAAAAAAAATCAATTCATACATCTGCAAGAAAAATCAAGCAACAAATAGATAAATGTATAAATTAGTGTAGTAAATTAAAAAAAAAAATAATGCAAGCGAATGATATTAACAAATGATCAAAGAGAATTAACTGAGAGGGTGAGAGTTCAGACAACAGAAACTGTGACAACAGAAACTGCGGCGCTCTGAGCGGGTGTGTACAAAGCTCGCTTCTAACCCAATTCAAATAATACTGAACCTGAATTTAGTAGAATACCTCCTACATCTCCAATAAGACCGTAGATTATTTTGGAAGTTCTCCTTGAAAAAAACAACAAAACAAGCGCTCTAAACGTTGCCAACATACATAAAAAAAACAAAAAAAAGAAAAAACTGAGATACAATGTAAAGTAACACATACAAATTACCAAAAATACCTGCTAAAAAGGTGGTTTATTTTTGATGATACATACCGAGTAAACTTTTTTAAAGTGAAATCTGAAGAAAAAAAAAGGACAGATAAAAATAAGAGTAGGTTGTGATAATGGAATGTCAGAAAATTCCACCTACGCTAATTCTCTTTAGCGTGTCTTAAGATCGCCCAAGGATTATTAATTAATGAAACTAATAAAATGAGATCTGATATTAGTTCACCTACTGAGAATCTAACTTCTAACTTCATTCCTGCTTCCCGGACAAGCACATCCTCAGGTTTCTTCTCCCCATCAGCCGCCGATTCTTTTGCACTACACACATAAAACATCGGAATTTAGCAAAAGCTTACTGAAATCAATTTAATTGAACTTGATATGATAAATGTACCGAGTAATTTAAAGACAACAAACAAAAGCATTTATTCAAGTTGAACAAGAGTTAACCATTCCACTGATGGAAAAAAACCTAATATGATAAAGAAAGTGCATAATTAGAAACAACAGATGGGGCACTAACGGCATACCAAGCAGACAAATAAATATGACATGGACGCTCAAATAAGAAGGCAAACGATTCAACGAAATACATGCGAACACCTAAAGAGCTAACAAATGAAAGGTAATTACAAAAGGAGGAGACGAAACAAACAAACAAATGCCTGATGAAAGCATGCTGGAAGAATTGCCATTTTCATAAAATATAAATTTGACAAAAACAAGGAGGTAAAATACCTGCACAATACTGAAAAAGAAAATTCCACAGGCATAATAAAAAGAAATTCCAAAGAGACAAGAACACATAAACCGAATCCATGGCGAAAAAGCAGGACGTAATGTACGGAGCCAAAAGCAAAAAAATGTGCCAACCAATGAGGTAATTCACCGAAAGATGCACGGCCGGCCAATAGCAGAATCCACCAAATCCATATGAGCATCTAAATAGCTAAGAACTGAAAGTGAGAACCAAAGGCATATGCTCCCCAACGCACCTATCGAGATTATTTATTTCAATTTGAGTAGCAATGCAAACTGTAGAAAACATAAAAGAAATTCGTCGAAGCAATTTAATAGAGAATATTTCATTTTATTTACGCAGAACTGAGGGAAGGGAAACCTTTATTTTCACATTTTTTTGAAGCCGCTAGCTACACTATATGATACAAACACACACACACACACACACACAAACAAGATTACATACATACATACATTGCTTACCTGCTTTCGTCTCTCTCTCTCTCTCTCCTTCCACCCCAACTCCCTTGAAACAGCTCATTAATCCGAGCCTTGATATCCTCCACTCTATATCTGATATCCTCCACTCTATATCTGATATATCTATCAGCGTTGTTGCTAATATTTGGTACACAGCCTCGCAAGAAAATTACGGTACGCATTACTACACAAAGCAACCGAAATCGAACTCCTCAACTCCTCCCTCAACGGATCATTAAATATCACCCACGAGGACTGGGTCTTGCATATCTCCTCAAAGTAGGAATTGAACAACTTCAACTCGAGCAAGGATATTTACTTGTTTATTTGTGAAATCTTTCTGCTATACATGTCAAATACACGTACTTTTCCATCCTCGCACCCAATCACTGCGTGTGGGTCGACATAACTGCAAAAAATAAAAATATTAAACGGCCCTTTCAGCGGATATTTTGCACATCTTGAATTAATGCCGTAAAGTATATATTGTGATTATCTATACAAAAAGCATCATTTGTGAGTAGAATGAATTGACACCCACCGCATACACAATCCCCTCGTAAACAAGCCTTCGCGTGAGGAGAACAGATCTCTCGTCCCAACGCGCCTCCATATACATACACGAGTCCCCACAAGACCAACAACCTATAGGATAATAAGCAAATAAAGGCTATGAGTTCAGTTTTCGCGCTATAAGATTCAAAATAAACTTTCTCGTCAAGTTATATTAAAAACCAACGGAGGCCCAAATAGAGCAGATAAAATGATGAGGAAACTCTGTCGATGAAATAATCTCCGGTCACTACTAAGCTGCTAATGATGACTCAACAACCTCAGATGTACAAGGCACAAAGTATTTGAACAATTACAAATTTGCCCCTTCAATTGCATTCTAAATGACTAAAGGTTTAAGTAAGGCTTCATAAGCCATTAAAAAAATGGAAAAAAAAGGTCGCTAAACATAAAATATTATATTGGAATTATCAAGAAGATTCATTATTACCTTTCCCTCGTCAAAATCAAAATCAATTAGTGGTGTTTTATCAGGTAACCGATATTCATCCAAAGCTTTGCAGCTCTCTGCAGACCATAGACGCATCACCTGTCATTTTTAAAATTATTCTCAAATATGCACAAACAGTCCCAGACGCTAAATACACCATGGAAATGATGCATGGCAGTGAAATCATTTCTGACGAAAATAACGAACATTTAGCACTGCATTCATAAGCAATTTGCTGTAACACACATTGATTCAACTCAACCAAGAAAGAGAAGACAATTCCGTCCATGATTGAAAAAAATAAGCAGGACCACCTTTTAACATTATCCCCCTATCTCAAACAGAACTACCCGAAATTGAATATCACAGTCACACATTAACACCAGAGGTCCATATTCTCGACACCAAATAATAATTCAGGTACGGTTTGAATTCATTATTCGTCTCTCTGTTTTGTAAATCAGTAAATGTTTACAATTTCTAATTTCAAAGTACGAGCTGCAAAAAGAAGCCTGCTTAACATGTTTATTTTCATAATCTTATTCTTAACTAACCAGCTTACGACCTTAAGTGGATCTCACAGAAAAATAGTAAACGATATACTACCAAACCACTTTTATAACTTAACATGCTGGCTTTATATCTTTAATTTATATATTTATATGTTTAGGTTAAATTATATGAGTCTACTAATTCAAAGTTCTTTAAGAGTGAACAATGGTACAACCTTTTCCGCGATATTAAAAATGCAACTTTATCTTGAAAGAACGAAGCAATCTACATGCCATGCAAAAAAGGGAAAGAAAATTGCACGTCAGATTTAATTTCCCCAATTTGTATCAAGATTTGAATTTTTTTCCAAATGTGAGCGTATCCTACCTTATCTCCGACGCCAGTGAGAATCAAACCCATCTTCATTCTGCATTTGCTAAACCTAATAAGAAACCAGGATGAAGAAAGTTATGCATTCAACCACAACTCGAGCCCTCAAAAGTAGATACAAAAAATGTAAAAAGAATTTCAAATGATAGAACCAACTATAAGTTGAAAACGGGCTCGTTCAGACAATAACTTCAATAATGAACTCTGAAACAATTACTCCTTGATTTGGTTCAGAATAACTATATAGTATCTATCTATGAAATGATACATATGCCCTAGTACATACTTAAGTCCATTATAATCTATAAGGATTTCGAGATGTTATGGTCGAACAAAGGACGAAATCGACGTGCAATTTGTTTACTACTTACATTAATAAACTTGACACAAGTTAAAGCTAATTAATTTCCGAATCAATTCAAAATAATCAAATAGCCGAATCAATAGAATGAAAGAGATGGAAAACGATTTACCCTACCGAGTGAGCTTTCCACTTGAAAACATCAACCGGACCTTCTTGTAAAGACAAACTTTGTCTATCCATAGCTAGCTGCTCCATTTGTCTATTTATCGATGTTTCAAACAAATTCGACACGTCATAAACACTACCAGATTCTGCCTGTTGTTGCTTGTGATACTGTATTTGCAGTAACTACAGTTTACGAATCACCGTGCTCCTTCACCGATTGAAGAAAGGGTAATATTAGGTAAGTGATTGATCTAACTCCATAAAAATAAAATAAAATTTTAATCTGTTTCAATTTTTCCCCAATTTTTTCCCCAATTTTTTTCCCCAATTCAATTGTTGAAATGACGTCATATCTAGAGATTTTTTAAATGAAAATACCAAATAATTATTTGTAGATAAGTTTATAGCAAGTAGTAAATGCTTGAGAGGAGCGAATTACCATGATATGCAGACGGCGAAGCAACGAATAAGGTGGACAAGGTCGAGAAAAGTGAAAATCATGCTCAGAACATCGTTTCCGAGAGCCTCTACTGTGGTTTTCGGGGTACGTCGCCACTTCTTCACCGGAGGCGCCGGCTGAAGCCGTCGTCTCCATAAGTTTTTGCCTACTAATATATAAAGAAATTATTGTTAGAAACTGTTTAGTCTAATAAATTAAATCTATCACTAACTCCCTCATTTTCTTTCAAATCTTTATTTTGCTAGCATATCACATTGTTAACCGTTAAAACACCTGGTTTTTCAAATTTTGACCATAAATTAGACTATTTTCTATCGCATACACTTGTTTTTTTGGATTCGTGAAGCTTTTAACGGGGTCACCGTAATTTGCCCAACATCTTATCAACTCCTAAAACATCTTATCTAGGAGTGGAAATCGGAACGAACTTTTCGATTTTCGCCAAGTCCGATCCAATTTTTTTCGATTTTTGAACGATTATTTGTAGTCCGAATTTTGAAATTTCGATTTCCAAATTTTTCCGAAAAAATCGGATCGGAACCCCACCCTTATGTGGATATAGAAAAATAAAATATATACCTAATTTACGTCCATTAAAATTCGAATGATCTTATTAATAACAATTCATACAGATTGTTTTGCACAAGCGTGTGTTTCGCTTGTCTCTTTCGAGTTACAGCGAAGAAGCGCTCGTTACAAGGGTTACTATGCATCGATACAACACTTGGTGGATCATATTCCCTCGGCGCAACTAAGTTCGTTGTACCCTTACATTTTTATTAGTCGAAATCCAAGAATGGTTAAAGGGTGCAAAATGGACGACTTGGATTTCTACGAAACGGACGGAATTACTCCGCTGTCGTATATCCAGAAGTATGGAGTATGCCTCAAATTAGATTATGCGTATTCCGACATTTTATATAGAAATACCCCGATTCCTGTAAGTATTTAAATATAAATTTATTTTCACATTATATTTAATTTTAATTTTTTTTACAGAAATCCAAGAATATTAAGTTAAGAAAAATCGTACTTGTGGGAGAAAGCCACATCGAAACGAAAAAGGCATTAGACCAAGGGCATCCGGTTGTAGCCTGGATTAAATTGTTTCCCACTTTGAATAAATCAGAAGAAAGGTAAAATCAATAATATTATTTTTATTACAATTATTTATTTTTTTATTTTGACTAATTTTGGTTTTTCTTGAATATAGGGTATATTTGGAGGAAAACCCAAGACAAGGAAAAATGCAAATAAAGCAGGACACATTATACTGATTATTGGATATGAGATTACCTCAAGTGGAGAGGAATATTATATTGTTCTTAATTCGTGGAAAAACTGGGGGATAAAGGTACGGGCAAAATCAAATGTGATTTTGTAAAACCCCAAGCTTATGTTGAAGATGTGTACATACAATTAAACCTCTATAAATTAATACAGTTGGGACCATAAAAAATTCATTAATTTAGCGAAATATTAACTTATCGATAAATTAATAATTATTAATTTATACATTAATTAACAACTTATTAATTTATGAAATTACTTTTATTATTATTTCCAATAAATACATTTTTTTTTAATTTTTTACGTGTATATTATTCATTGTACCATTAGTTCAATTCGCAATAGCGCCCGTTTCACAAACGGAAGCTCTTAAAGAAGCAGTGGTATAGAACGATTTTATATTGAGTTATTAGAAAACTATACCGAAAGTTCTAATCATGTTAAGAAAAGTGAGGGACTAGATTGATGGTAATGTGAATTCAACAAGAAACAAGCGACAATTAAATAATATTGTATTAAGCCTTCATAGATCTATAAAATATGTACTGTACCATGTAATTTAAGAATTATTTTTATGCACTATTAATTTATATAATATATGGGGCTTCTTAAACTTTTCGAATGTGTATTATCTTATAAATTTAGCGAATTATTAATTTAGCACGTTGTCCCCGAGTCGGGACCGGAAAAAAATATTATTTAAGTGAGGTTATTAATTTATCGGGTATTAATTTATCGAGGTTCTACTGTATATAATACAGTGTAATCAAACATAAGCTTGGGGTTTTACAAAATCACATTTGATTTTGCCCGTACCTTTATCCCCAGTTTTTCCTCGAATTAAGAACAATATAATATTCCTTTCCTTTATTTGCATTTTTCCTTGTCTTGGGTTTTCCTCTAAATATCCCTTTATTCAAGAAAAACTAAAATTAATCAAAATACATAAATTAAATAATTGTAGTAAAAATAATATTATTGATTTTAACTTTCCTCTGAATGTATTCAGAGTGGAATCAATTTAATCCAGGCTACAACCGCCTTTTTCGTTTCCTTTTTCGTTTCGATGTGACTTTCTCCCACAAATACGATTTTTCCTACTTCAAATTTCTTGGATTCTTTTAAAAAAAAATATATATATAAAGTGAAAATAAATTTATATTTAAATATTTACAGGAATCGGGGAATTTTTATTAAAATGCCGAAATAGACATAATCTGATTCGAGGCATTATCTATACTTCTGGATATACGACAGCGGAGTAATTCCGTCCGTTGCGTAGAAATCCAAGTCGTCCATTTCGCACTATTTAACTATTCTTGGATTTCGATTTATAAATAAGTAAAGATACAGCGAACCTAATTGCGCCGAGGGAATATGATCCACCAAGTGTTGTATCGATGCATAGTAACCCTTGTAACGAGCGTTTCTTCGCTATAACTCGAAAGAGACAAGCGAAGCACACACTTGTGCAAAGCAGTTTGTATGAATAGTTATTAATAAGATCATTCGAATTTTAATTAACGTAAATTAGGTATATATTTTATTTTTCTATATCCACATAAGGGTGGGGGTTCTGATCCGATTTTTTCGGAAAAAATTGAAAATCGAAATTTCAAAATTCGGATTACAAAAAATCGTTCAAAAATCGAAAAAAATTAGATCGGACTTGGCGAAAATCGAAAAGTTCGTTCCGATTTCCACTCCTTAGATAAGATGTTTAGGGATTGATAAGATGTTGGGCAAATCACGGTGACCCCCGTTAAAAGCTTCACGAATCCAAAAAAACAAGTGTATGCGATAGAAAATATTCTAATTTATGTTTAAAATTTGAAAAACCAGGTGTTTTAATGGTTAATAATGTGATATGCTAGCAAAATAAAGATTTAAAAGAAAATGAGGGAGTTAGTGATATATTTTAATTTATTAGACTAAACAGTATCTAATAATAATTTCTTTATATATTACCATGTTTCAATTGCGGAGAGACTCTGAGATGCACGTCATACTTCTTGAGCAAATTCAGATAGGACTGCAATCATGCAGTATCATTAATATACATACAAAAAACATTAAAACTGTAAAAGTTGTGGAAATGTTAAACCCAACCTAACTTCTGTTTTTTGGGGTTTGAGTTTGAACGAAACCGGAAAAAAGTGAGATGAAAATGAACGACAAGAAGTAAATACTGGGGCTAGAAAACAGAAGGGTTGTAGCACTAATATAGCAATCATAGGGACTGTAAACCTGGTTCATAACTGCTTAGGGATGGCAATGGGTCCGGGTTTGGCGGGTCTTGGACCCGGAACCGACCCGTTTAGGGCGGGTCTGGGTCCGCTAAATGGTTTTGAGTCGGATAATGGGTTTAAATTTCTAGAACCGAATGGTTCTGGGTCGGGTAACGAGTCTTATTGGAACCGACCCAGAACCGACCCGTATATATATATATATAAATATATATATATATATATATATATATATATATATATATATAATTTTTAATATCATTTATCAAACTATCAATTTCGATTTTCTCTATTCTCATTTACCTATTTTCACTGTTTTATTTTTCGAATCTCATTTCTCATGATTAATATTTATCATTTGTCGACCACCGCGCTAATTGTCTTGCATTTTGAATTTAAATATTATAGAAGTTAAATATAATTAATTGTAATTGTATTGTTCATGTTATATTATTGTAGAGATTTTTTTAAAATATTGTATTTTAGTATTGAGATTATTTCGTAAAAATATACAAGCAAAATGTTATGAAAGTTAAAAGATATTAAAATTTTTGTATGTTAACGGGTCTAGCGGGTCTCGCGGGTCAGAAACGTTTAGTTAGGGTCTGGGTTGGAGCGGGTATGGGTCTAAGCTAAAACGGGTTGGGGCGGGTCCTGAGTTTATATATTTTTCGTGGGTCGGGTCTTGGATTTAGGCAAACCCGACCCAGAACCGACCTGTTGCCATCCCTAAAACTGCTCCCTATGCAATCAGAAGCGACGGCAAGTTGAAAATAAAAATAAAAATAAAATAAAGAAAAGGAAAAACAAAGAATCAAGGGAAAAATACGAAGATCTCCCTTCCAATAATATGAACACGAAAAACATATGATATACATACTCACACACAAGAGAAGGTCATATTATATCGAACCGAAACTTACAAACCGAAAAATTATAACGCAGGGTAAGTAGCTCCGAATCCTGGGCAGTTGTTAGATCTGGTGTTAGATCTGCAAAAAGCAACGGATAAAACCATTTTAAGATCCAACTCGAACCCTAAATCTGAGCCACTTTATTCATAATTGGAAACGACATGGACCTAACGAATGATCCAGTTCAAGGAAATTATAAATAAACAACACAACACATGGGAATAAAAGCGTGGACAAGTTTCAAACAAAATAGATTTCGTGATGATGCCGTTGAAACGACAAATCGGGGATTGTATTCCTATTATTTGTTAGGGAAAACAGGAGATAATAATTTTACAATTCCCTGTCCCTAAAATTGTGGTTAAGAAAAGCAAAATGAGAAATTGATTACCCATAGCAGGAGGTCATGTCATCAGGACGGACAAACTCTACATAGTTAAGTGTGACGAAAACCCGAGCTCGAAAAATTTTGGAATCCGGATCTTCTCGCCGCCGCGGCCACAAAGGATCATTAGATTTCGCCCTATACAATAAATCCACCCTAGAATCATCTCCAGTTGCACGCACCAGCTCCATCAAACTGAATGCCAACGACTACACACACATAATAAATTGTTAAGAGAATAAGCAATTGTTGTTATGGAGAGATCTAGAGAGAGAGAGAGAGAATAGATACATGTGTTTTGTTGTAGACTTGAAGAGCAAAATCGGCAGATTTCATGAGAAGTGTCATTGTTTTACCAAAATCAAATCGGAAGAGCTCTCCGTTTTTATACAATACCAAATATAGGTATGCTCTTGCGCTTCTTCTTCTTCATCTTCTTCTTCTTCATCTTCTTCGTTTTTCGTCTTATTATTATCTGCAGACGCGCATACGCCCTTGACCTTCGTTTTTGGTTTCGTATGTGTCTTATTCACACCGGACTCGCCCAGATCCTCGTTCAGTTTCGAAACTTTTTTCGTGCCGTCGCCGGATTCAGGCAATCCATCTCTCTCTCCCCCTCTCTCTCTCTAAAACCCTAATTGATTTTTCCCCTTTCGTTGGTTTCTTTTAAATTTTACTATGCAGCTTTTCTTTTATTAAAAAAAAGAGAGAAAGGGTTAAGAAAGGTAATGGGCTGGATTTTGAGAATGGGTTGGGCTGCAACGGGTTGGGTAGGAATGGAAACCAAATCAATTTTCTTTTGAGCAATTGTCATAAAATATGTTTTAAAATTGATAAATAAATAAATTATAAAATTTAAAAAAATTAATGATAAAATAAAATTGAACTCATAAAAATTAAGATAAATTTATGCGATGAATAAGTTCAAAATGCCGAATACCGAAAAACTCCCGATGGCGGTCAACACCACAGATGGAAACTGCAGTCATTTGTGAACTGAACAAATGGACTATCATCACTAATATTAATACTAATACTAATAATAATAATTAGTAATCATTCTCTCGAATTCCCAAATTTCAGTTTGTGTTTTTTTTTTTTCAGGCCGTGATGCCGATGAAAAACTGTTTCAAACATGTTTATACAAAAAAAAAAAGCGAGCACTCTATTTTGCAAACTTGAACAAATAAGAAGACCGAAACATGGAGGGGAAGTTCCTGAATGAGAAAGGTTTATTTTGAGCAAATATTCAATAAAAGCACACGAATTACGGTCTTCAGCCTCGTAACCGCCAGAAACGTTTGACGATTACTACAAGCATGACGATGATGGTGAGAAATAAACTCGTCTTCAGTTTCTTATCTTCAATTTCCTCCTTCATAAAGCCTCCATTTTGCTCCCCCATAGAGCTTCCGCTTGGAAGCTGAAAATCATCGTTCACGGATCTCGCGATCTTGTTAATAAGTGGCACGTTTTTTCCCTCATCCTTCGGAAATACGAAACTCATAATATCCTTCACTGGATTCGAGTCGTCTGAGGTACCGTTGTCTATGTAGTTGTTGTTGTCTCCTTGTTCAATAGCTAAATAATGAATAAACATCGAAAGTTATAGGTGGAATATAATGAATGAAATTAATAAAAAAAATAATACGAAACGTGAAATTAGTATTAAAATTTAAAAAAACAACCTCGAAAAGTTGATCCTCCCAACAGCTTCTTAACATCCTTGTTCTTCAACACAGCATCCCAAACAGTTTGATCGTGCGATAAAGAGACCACCGCTCTCTTTGAGCATTATTTAAATAAATAAAATGGATAAATTAAAAATTATTCGCAACGGAAAACAATAGAAACTACAGAGGAAAAAAAAAAAAACCTGTACAGAAGTATCGGTTTGCAATAAATGGAAGGCATCGTAAACACTGTTATTATTTGATCCATTATGCTGTTGTAATATTCTTGAACTGCTGCATATAGTCACCGAGTGATGATCAATCCAATCACTATCCCCGGTAAGTTTTATGCTCGATTGACGTGAGAAGTACGACGACAATTTAAACGCCCTTTTATTTGTCGAAATCCCCCATTCAAACAAATACTATAATATATCAGCATTCAAATAGTTCGAAAATACATCTCAATCGTAAATAATAATAAATTATAAAACTCACTGTTGAAGAGAAGAAACTGCGTCATCGACTTCGTCTCTAGATGGAACAGTTAGAAAGATAGAATCGTTACAAGGAACAAGTACCCCTCCATCTTCGCTCCAATCCAAACACTCGTGCCACTCTGTATCATCGATAGAGTTTGTCATGGCTGCCCCGGCGACAAAGATTTAGGGTTGACTTTTGGGGTGAGGAAATGAAGGGGATCCCGATTCGAAGAAGAAGATGGGGAAATTTTGATCTTTTGATCGGGACCACAGACGACCGGGCATTCGGAAACGATCAAAGTTAATAGTTATGATTCCTTCCAAAGTTTGAGATAATGCCTTCCCACTACGTTTTGACTTTGAAGGAGTCGTCATCAAAGATAATACTGATCTATAAGATGTTACACCCGGTGGAATACATTGGATGATTTTAAACCATAGATATATACAAAAAACTATCCAATAAGCACACAGACACATGTGCATGTGTTTTATTATGTGTAGATCTATTGTTTTGAAAACAACCGGTATATTTCAACGAGTGTAGATCCTACAAAACCGATAAACCCTTTTTGCTATATTTATATAACCTCGATCTTTATCTAAACCCGTTTTCAGACTGCATATTCTTTATCTGTTTGTCTTTTCATTATTTCAGGCAGTGATGAAACAACTGCCTAGGAAAAACTGTCTCAAACATTTATACAAAAAAAAAAAAAAAAACATTAGAGCAACTGTAACTCATTAAAAGTCGGCGAATTATGGTCGTGAACTCTGGGCGCGAGTGGCGACCACTATAAGAAGGACGATGACGGAGAGAAATAAAGACGTCTTAAGTTTCTCCTCCATAGTAAAGCCTCCATTCTTCTCCTCGTTCGGAAGGTGAAAAACACCGTTCATAAGTTCGGTTATCTTGTCAATAAGTTGCATGATTTTCGCCTTGGAGTTCACCAAAACCCAACTCAGAATATCCCTTACTGGATTTGATCCATCCGGGCTGCCCTCGTCTACGTTGTCTCCTTGTTCATCACCTAACAAAGTTACCGGTATAACGAGTAAATAATTTCATATACGACATTATTATTTAAAAAAAAAAAAGACGAATGAACAAACCTTGATTGAGTGATCCTCTCAGCTCCTTAACAACCTCGTTGTTCAAGACAGCATCCCAAACGGCTTTATCCGACGATAAAGAGATCACCATTCTCTTTTTAAGCATATAAAAAGAACAGAGTGAATTTTATTTATTTTTTCGACAAAATTATGCTAAAAGGAAAAACAAGAGAAAACGGTACCTGTACGGAAGGTTCATTCTGTAATAAATGGAAGGCATCGTAAACTCGGTCCGATCCATTTTGCTGCTCCAACATTCTTGAATTGTTGCTGCATATTGTCAGTGAGGGCTCAATCCAATCCACCTCAGATTCCGACGACGACGAATAAATCATCGACTTCTCAACTCCGTATTCTTCTCCGTGTTTCGGTTTAAGGGCCCTTCAAATGTCGAAATATTTCATTCAATTAATTTTTTATACAATTTCACCATTAACAATTATTATGTTGTTTATGCTACGGTACACCGGGTGAAATACATCGGGTTGATCTTTATCATTCATATACACACAAACACCCACACCCACATTGGTGTGTAGATCAATTGTAAAAAAAAAACCGTTATGTTCAAAGCAAAATACATCTCAATTATTACTACAATTTGGATGATTTTTATTAATTAATTAATTAATGATACTAAATGAAAAAAGGATAATTTAATATGATGATTAAAGAACTTACTGTTGAAGAGCAGAGACTGCAAAATCGACTTCATCTTTAGATGGAACATTCCCAAAGATGAAATCTTCATAAAGAGCACGTGCCCTAATTTCATCTTCGCTCGCATCCAAACACTCCCAGTCCGCGTCGTCGCCGCACGTGGGTGAAGAACAAGTCGGCGCAGATAACGCCGGCAGATTTATCAGCGACGAAAAAGCCCGCGGCGGATTGGTACTGCTGCTATCACTAGAACTAGAGGACGAAAGGGTTAAGGCCGTGTTTGGAGTGGCGGATTGCTTTTTATTCGAGTAGTGTTTGGGTTTTCTAGAATTGGCCGCCGTGCCGATGGTGGTGGTGTTCGAGGACGGCGAAAATGGCTCCGGCGGTGCGCCGCCGACGCCAGTGCGGAGAGCCCTTTGAACGTTTCGGAGCATGCCGCCGCCGCCTCCACCGCTTCCTCCACCCATACCGCTGCCGCCACCTCCAAATGACCGCCGCATGTTCTTATCTGTTTATTCAATTATTTGTGTCTTATTATTATGTAACGGGCACTTGCTTTTATGTATCGGCCAGTTCTGTACACTTGTGACGCTAGTGCTGCTGCAATTTTATCATATACAGATATACTCCATGAGTTTTTTTATTTTATTTTAATAATGTTTACGAATTATAATATCATGTTATATTTAAAATAAGCCATTTTCCAGAGAAAAAAAAAATAGTACCCTCCAATTTTCGTAATGGAAAAAAGTATTTTGTAGTAGGCATTATGTAATAATATAAAAAAATTTAATAGTCACAATAATAATTATTAATATTATTATTATATATATATATATATATTTTTTTAGGTTGATTTTTAAGTATTAGTTATTTTATTTATTTATTTTTGTAGTATTATATTAAATTATATAAATGATTTAAATAATAATACCATCAAATTCTACGACCAAATTAATTTTATTTTCTATGTCTGTTTTTACTTTTTTTTATATATATATTTAATTTCAAAGATAAAAAAAAAAAAAGATGCTCCTTTAATAAAAGTTTAATTATATTTTAAGGCCCAAGAGCTAAAAAAAAATAATAATGGTACTAACGGATTGGGCCAGGCCCATGTGGCAGGGTTGTTTTTATAACCTCCGAAAACCCTAGCATATTTGATTCCACTCCACTTCAGTTCCATTTTCATATCGGCGGTGAACGCGCAGCGGCTACTGTAATGGGTATTATTTCCTTCTCCTCCGAACCCTAATTCCCGTCTTTTTCTTTTCAGGAATAGTTTCATATAGTGATTTTGATCCGTTGTTTGATTTGCAGGTGCCTACACTTACGTTTCTGAGCTATGGAAGAAGAAGCAATCCGATGTGATGCGGTTTTTGCTTAGGGTTCGTTGTTGGGAGTACCGTCAGCTTCCCGCTGTTGTACGTGTCACCCACCCCACCCGCCCCGATAAGGCCCGCCGCCTCGGCTACAAGGCCAAGCAGGTACGAAAATCCATTCCTTTTTTACCCTTCGCATGGTCTTCAATCTATGAAGAACCACTTTGTATCCAGAGGTTGTTTAGTTACGTGAAGAAATGCTTATGTGTTAGTGTGTGATTTGTTATATCTGTTGTCTCCAATTTTAGGGTTTGAGCTGGCTTCAATTGATTGTTTATAGGTTTACTGTGGCTGTGAGATTTTGTTCTTGTCAATCAGCTCTTAAATTGCTAATTGTTAATTTTAAGAGTTAATGCTATCTCTTATACTGAACTATGTCAAAACCTTAAAAATAACGGATTTTCTAAATGCCTTTTCAGATTGCTGATTGTTGATTTCCGAATTTATATTTTACAGTAGTATTTTGGTATTTGATGTTTCCTCTGTTATATGTTTTCACTGTAAATTAAACCTAGCATATCCTCAAATTAATTAAAAAAAATGTATTCAATTTGTCCGTGCTTGAATGCATGTATTTACATTTGCCAGTTCTTTACATGCTATCTGTTTTTATGTTGGAATTAATGAATTAGTTTAACCTCAGGGGTATGTGGTTTACCGTGTGCGTGTGAGGCGTGGTGGAAGGAAGAGGCCAGTGCCCAAGGGTATTGTGTACGGTAAGCCCACTAACCAGGGAGTTACTCAGCTCAAGTTCCAGCGCAGCAAGCGCTCCGTTGCTGAGGAGCGTGCCGGAAGGAAACTTGCCGGCCTTAGGGTTCTCAACTCTTACTGGATCAACGAGGTTTGTTTTCAATTTCTCGATAATTCACTCTGGTAGTTCTCTCTGTCATTCTGTTTTCATCCTCTTGAAATTTTAGTTATTTAATTCTGGAGATGTTTGAATAATTGAGTTGTTAAGACGAAACATAGTAACTGTGATTTCTGTATAATTTTCTACTTGTGCTTGACTGTGATCCTTGACTTAGTTGATTTAACTACCGTTAAAGATTGATACCCGTTAATCTTTAATCTTAAGCTCTACTCATCAACCATTTAGCTAAATGCTTTTCGTCTTCCCGTACGTTCTTGGTAACGTCTAAAGATGTAACCCAATTGTTTTCACTGCATGATTCCACCTCAAGTATTTTTATCCTCATCATTAAATTCTTACCCCTCGTTTATTCCGTAAAAAATTGTAAATGAATTCCTACCTAAAATGGTTGAACATGCATACTTAATAAAGGGTAAAGATATAAGTCAATTGTTTTCAATGCAGGACTCCACCTACAAGTACTTCGAGGTGATTCTGATCGATCCAGCACATACAACTGTGCGCAATGACCCGAGAATCAACTGGATCTGCAATCCAGTCCACAAACACAGAGAGCTTCGCGGGCTTACCTCTGCTGGAAAGAAATACAGAGGTCTCAGGGGCAGAGGTCACTTGCACCACAAGGCACGTCCTTCCAGAAGGGCCACCTGGAAGAGGAACCAGACCCTCTCTCTTCGTCGTTACCGTTAATCTTCTTCATAATTTTGCTATTGCCTATTTTAGTTTTGAAAAGATATTCGTGTGTCTGCTCTAGGTTCTTGTTTACTTTTGAGAGAAGTTTCGACATTATTTTCTTGAACAACTTATCTTGTCTGAGAATTGAGGATATCTTGCAATGACTGTCATATGTCCTGGTAATTTTGTTAATGTACCGACTTTTTGTTTCTTAATGTTGCTTATATTTTTTGCTCAATCCTCTGCCCTCTATATTTATATATGATGTTTAGATATCGGCCTTGCATGGTCGAAATAGTGATTCGAATCGTCGACCAGTCAATAAACCCCATTGCAGGATAGGCTTCAATACCCTTTTGATATACATTAGTGATGCATAATTATTAGGTTTAGATGAAGATAGCCGAAGAGAGAATTTGTAGTTAATCATATTAAATCATCTCTTTTAATTCTATTTAAACACTTATATATCTATCGGTATACTTCACATTGTGTAGCACTTACAATACTTATCCAATCCCAAAACAAGAGTGGTTAATATTGAATTGCAGGTAAAATTAAATGCTCTAATTAAAACATTCATGTTAGTTCTTACGAGTTTATTTGATGCTACATCTTAATACATTGTATGATTATTAACCATTGATCTGCAAATAATCACACGCACATCACATGAACGGTTAATAATCACCGAGTGTAGCATCTCAATAACCGTTGTTACGAGTAGTGGTATTCTTATGTGTTGATGGGTTGTCCTCCAATTTAAATAAAATAGAGTCAGTCACCAACTAAATAATTGAAGCCATTGGTAATTCTAAGTTTTGAAAGGATGAATGACAAAAAGTTGCAAAAGGAATTTCAATCTTCTAAAACAACATCATTGAGATCTTGAGTTTTATTGGTTAAAAGTGTGGACTACTTAATTAGTGCATTTTTCTTCTACCTTTTTTTCTTTGCTTCAAATTGCAGGAACATCTAGGCTTTGTTATATTTAAGTAAAATAAGAATAAAAATGATGTAAATTGTAGGTATATACTATAGTAATTAATTTGAAATTTTAAAAGTAGAAATACTTTGCCTCTAAAACAAGAACAAACAAGATTTTTCCCCAAAATTATTAGAAAAATTACATGTAAATTTCAGGCAGATTAACTTTAGAAGTTTTAAATCATTTGGTTGTCCATTTCACCATGCCTCACATACTTTGAAGGTATTGGAGGGTGAGATATTCATATCATTCTTCACAAATAAAGCCTCTTTATTTAACAAGAATGAAATGATAGAGCTTGACATGCAATCATAAATATGGGACCGTTTTTTAAATTAAAAAAAAAAACACATTAGTTTCTTATTTACCCTAGTTCTTATTTTGGGGCAACTTTTTATTATTTTAATCAAGAAAGTTAAAACCTATTTTTGTGTTGGACATACTCCGATATGTAAATGAGCTGAGCTCGAGATGAAGTCGAGTCGAGCATGTCGAACTCGAACTCGAACTCATTTTATTATTCATTTATTTTAAAAAAATTTAAATTTTTTTACATAATAATAATATTATATTTTACTATAAATTATATATAAAAAAAAATTATGGAAGAAAAAATAAAAACATTTTGTTGGTTGGGTTTATAACTAGTTGACATAATTGAAAGGATAAATAGGAGAAGTAAAAAATTGAACATAGTGAAGGATCTTGACTTATAGGTTAGAGCTTCACATGCTTACTCATTGGTCTTCAAAGATTAATGATTTTGTCTCCACTATGCCAATTAAAGTTTTTATCTCATGAGTTAATATACTCAATCAATTATCAAAAAAAAAAAAATTAATAATTAATCTTCATGTTCATACAAGTCACTTTAAAGTTCCTATTCATACGAGTGAGTGAGTGTGGAAATTAGTATGTAGGAAGGTGACAAAAATTAAGAATTATTACTAAGAAAAACGATGCTACTACTTTGAGATTTTAATTAAAAGATACTAAGAAAATAGTGTGTTTTTTTCCCTTCACTTTGACATTATTTGTTTAAGTTTTGCGTTTTATTTGCACTTATTCAATTAGGGTAAATTACAGGAAGTCACTTATCTAAGATGAAATTGCAAAAAACCACTCATGTTTGATTAATTACAGTCATCTTTCAACTATGTATTGTTTTTCACGTTAAGATTTACTGTATCAAATTTATTAGAGGTTTTTTCGCGAAAAAATATATAGTTGATGGGTAGTTTTTATTACTGAAATTAGAGATATTTTTTCGTAATTTGACCTTACTTCAAGGAGTGGCAGTAATTTGATATATATTTATTTCCTACATTTTAATGTTCTTGTCCTAAACATAATTTCAAGTATTTATTTGGTTAATTAGTTTCCAACATAATTATGAAAAATCTAAACCTTTTAGAAAGAAAAATAAAATAATTATAATGAGAAATAGAGTGCTTTTCAGGCACGGGAGTGGGCCCCATGGTAAAAAAAAAAAAAGTGTGATTGCGGTCCATCACGCGAGCGACGCGTGCTGGCAGAAACACAATGAAAAATAATAATATGGGCTTATAATTATTAGTGGACCGGGTTTTTTGTTTTGTTTTAAAATGGAACAAAGTATGAACTGCTGCGCAGCCCACTTCCCTGCAATTAACCCCTTTCTTCCCATCTTGCCCCTATAGCCCTAGTGTTGAGAATTATTATTATATTCTTTTGAGTGATAAATCAATAATCACATTGGAATAATAATTTTTTCTGGTAGCAGCTTGCTGAAAATGAATTAAGTTGTTGGTTCGATAATTTAATATTTTGATAAATTAATAGTATTGTGTTATTTTCGACTGTAGTAATTTATAGAAATTTTACCTGTATTTGGTATTTAAAAATACTAGTTAAAAATAGTTTAAATTTTCTTTAATCATCAAATTTTATCTTTTTTTTTTATCATGCATGATTTTATTTATTTTATCACTATATTGATCAATTAGTGACATAAATCTTTAAATATATTAGGACAACTCTGCAACTAGGTAGACAAATTGCTTTAGCCAATGTTACGTCTTTCATCAATTTTGTTTCATTAAACAATCCGTAACCGACTAACAGTATTTGCCCTGTGCCTGAGTTACTCCCTTGTCCTTTTTTTTCCCGAGCCAGAATTTAAAGTTTGCGGGTAGAACCTTTATAAGAGAAGGCCGATAATGCTAATTATACACGATTTTTTTAAATATTCACATTAAAAATAGGGATTCGAGAATTATTAGGGGCAGAGGCGAGTCCACCCAAGGGCTAGGGTGGACTCAAGCCCCTCTCACTTTCAAATTTATCCCCTTTTCATATATATATATATATATATATATATATATATATATATATATATATATATATATATATATATATATATATGGAGAAATGTATGCGTGGCTATGTATATATATATATATATATATATATATATATATATATATATATATATATATATATATATATATATATATATATATATATATATATATATATATATATATATATATATATATATATATATATATATATATATATATATAATATTCTATTTATTTTTTTAGTCTACTAAATTATATTATTTAAACTACTTATTTTCAGTACACTTATTCAAAGTCATTGTCTTCTATTTCTCAATTTCGTTAAGTTTCTTGGAAATAAAAAAAAAAAAACTTTATTCTTTTCCACAATTGCACTAATAGCGGTTAGTCGCACTTATAGCGGTTAAGTTATTCCACCAACCGGTGATCGTTTAGCATTTGACAACTTAATTCTCTATCATCTTAATTTTCAAATTGGATATCAATTATAAGTCGATTGTGTCAATTTGATAATCGACTTGATATCCATGTTTCTTAAATTTTCATAGCAATTTAATTTCCGCAATTCGCTTTGTATTATCTTCTGAAAGTGGGAAAAAAAATTCATATCAAATTTTCATCTTAAATTTATTCTGTCGCAATTTTTTTTTCGAGGGCCGCTACCCACAAACCCCTCTGTGTTTAAGCCCCCATCACTAAGATTTCTAGCCTCGCCACTAGTTGGGGGTCATTGCCCCCTTTTGACCCTATTATGGCTCCACCATTGCAGCCATTTACAGCACGAAAAATACTTTTGTCCCACTTGCTCGGTTTTAAAATAATAATACTCATTCTCTATTAATTGATTATACGTCAAGAAAAATGGAATACTTTAGTAGAAGTACACGTAACATTGAAGCATGCAAAAAGTTTTATACAATACTGTTAAGCAAAGACAATTTGTAGGAGTGATTAATTCATCATCTCTACCTGCAAAACCCGCCTTCTTAATTATTATCTTAAATCTGCTTTAATTACACATTTAATGATGTAAATTAAAGTAGTATTAATTAAGTAGGCCATCAAATCATTCAATTTAATCAAACAACCCACCCACAAGTCAAACTGTCCTAATTAATTAGCTACAAATTCTTGGATTCTAAATTGTTCATGAAAAAAAGTAGAAATTTTGCAGATAAAAAATTTACTGATCTCTGTGAATTAAAAGAAAAATTCTACTTGTAATGAAGAGAAGTACTACTGCCAAGGCCAAAAGTACAACTGTTGAAGGTCAATTAAATGTGTACTGTTAGATTTACAATAATAGTGAGGGTCCAGCAGCTCTATTTACAGTGTCTAGATAACAGTGTGCAGTATTAGTAGTACTAAATTTACTCTGCCCTATTAATAGATATATATTGAATAATAATTTGATCACGTTTTTTAGTTTTATTATTTTTTTTTTAAGAAAACAGTAGTATTTGAATTTCTTTTCTGAAAATATATATAAATATTGGAGTCACATAATTAAATGGCAGGCTGTAAGTATCAACCATGCATATTTTATAAAGAAATGTTTGATAGGTACCTGACAATCATTGTCATTGATCATATTTGCTGATAATTAAACAAAAAAAGGGGGGTTTTGGTGCAAATTAATTTAAGTGGTCCTATATATATATATATATCTCATCACCCAAATTTCATTTTCAATTCCAACTTTAATTTCGTCTTATTATACCAAAACACAAATTAAAAAATAATACTAATAACAAGAGAGTGGGAAATTGTGAAGAAAAACTTTTATTGGATCCTGCAACAAACATTGCCCATATTTAATCAAATTTCTGCCTCTGCCCCCAAAGATAAAGGAAACAAGGAATGATGTAAAGAAAAACAAAAGGAAAAGTGAAAAGAAATCCAGCAAAATAAATAAATACCTTAAAGTATATACTTAGGGCATCTCCAATGGAGTCTCTAAACTCCATTTGGCTGCATAATATAGAAATTGTGCATCAAAATCCAACACCAACAAGAAAATTTAAGGGGCTCTAAATTTTCAGATTTTTGCAAAATATGCAAACTTGGTTCTAAATTTAGGTACTGGTTTGGAGACTCTGATTTTATGGGACCCATCTTCAAACAAAACAAAATTTCTTGAATTTAAATTTTGAATTTAATTTTTTTTAAATTAAAATTAAAATTTGAATGATTTGCAAATATGACCGTTGGTTTTCAACGGTAAGAAAAAATATTGAAAAAAGCATAAAATACCTCTAATTGTTCTTCAACTTCTTCATCTTCTTCATCTTCTTCATCACTTCTAAATATTCTGATTGTGAGTTTTTTTTCTTTTTTTTTTTCTCTCTTCAATACTTGTAGAAATTGGAAATTTGGTTGAGTTTATGGCTCAGAGAATGGAGAAATTAGAAGTAGGGGGTTGGGTTTTACTTGAATTCTTGAAATAATTAGGAGCAAATTTTTTTTTTCTTTCTCTCTGTTACGGTGCGTGAACAGAGTGAAAATTGGGGAAGAAGAGGCGAGGGGTTAGGTTTAGAAAAGAGAAAAGAAAAAAAAAAGAAAAAAAAAAGAAAAAAAAAAGGAAAATACGCGTATTGGAGGTCAAAGGCGGTTTACATAGTGGAGATTTATAAATCTCTTAATTGTTAAGCATTTAATTAGTATTTAATTAGTATTTAATTAGTTATTCAAAACTATTTAATTAGTCTTTTTTTAGTAATTAGTTTATTTTGTATTTAGGTTTAATAAATTTAATTCTTTTATATTTAGTTTAATCACTTACTATTTAATTATGAAGATGTGAATAAGATGATTAGATAAAAATTTAACGGTCGAGATCAATTGAAATCATATTCAATGGTTGTAGTTCAATATTTCAGATAATTTCAGAATTTTTCATGGAGGAGATGTGAATAAGATAATTAGATAATAATTTAATGGACGTGATCAATTGAAATAATATTCAACGGTTCTAGTTCAATATTTCATATCTTTTCAGAAATTTTCATTTTTTGGATCAAAATGTGTATTAAAAATATTTAAGATTGTTCAAATAAAATTTAACTGTCTACAATCTCGTATATGAATAAAATTTGAGCCATAAACAAATTACTACATAAAATAATCCGTAACATGATTTAGAGACTCGAAATTATAGAGCCCTCCCATTGTGGAATTTTGTTTTTTAGAGACCCCAAAATTTTACCGGGTCTCTATTTGGGTCTCCAAAACAAAATTTGGAGACCCAATTTGAAGACTCTATTGGAGATGCCCTTAGAGAGAGAAAGACAAGGGTGAAATATATAGAGAGGAGAGAGGAGAGAGGAGAGAGGAGAGAGAAGAGGAACTATTTATATATATATATATATATATTTCTATTTATTTTGTACTCTGTTTCTCTCTCTAGAAAGGGGAGTGTGGTGTAACTGTGTTTCTCTCTCTTGATGCAAAAACAGAGCCCACTGAGAGAGAATTGCTAATCATCATCATCATGAAACACTCTCTGCAACATGCACTCCTAAAAAGCAAACCCAACCACCATCAAAACCACCCTTCCCCACCTTAAATTTACACACACACACACATTTCTTGCTCACTCAATTCCATTTCCACCACCATGGCCCTAATTTCATCCTTCTTCCTCCTCTTCATCCTCGCCGGCGGCGCCGGCGGCGCCGCCGCGGCTCCGCCGATCCAGCTTCTGTCACTCCTCTCGATTAAATCATCACTCGTCGACACCCAAAACACGCTCCTTGATTGGGATCCGAGAGCAGCATTTTCCAGGCCCGGTTCGCAGGCCGCGTGGTGCTCGTGGTCCGGCGTGAAATGCGATCGCCGGACGGACGAAGTTACAACCCTGGACTTGTCGGGGCGAAACCTCTCCGGCGCGATACATTCCGATGTTAGGTATCTGTCACATTTGCACCATTTGAATTTGAGCTGGAATTCATTCGACGGGGCATTAAACGACGCCGTTTTCGAACTGCCGAACCTCAGAACCCTAGACATCAATCACAACTTCTTCAATTCGAGCTTTTCGCCGGGAGTTTCGAAACTCAAATCCCTCACCTTCCTCAATGCATACAGCAACAGCTTCGCCGGACCGTTGCCGGAGGAGCTCGTGTCTCTCGGCAATCTCGAGTACCTGAACCTCGGCGGCAGCTACTTCGAAGGCGAAATCCCTTCCAGTTACGGCAAATTCTCAAAGCTGAAATCTTTATACCTGCATGGGAATTCCCTCACGGGTCGGATCCCACCCGAGTTGGGTCTGCTGAGTCAACTCGAACACGTGGAATTGGGGTACAATGCTTACGTCGGTGGACTCCCCGTGCAGTTTTCCAGCTTATCAAGTTTAGTGTATCTCGATATCTCGTCGGCGAATCTCTCCGGCAATCTTCCACCGGAGCTGGGCGGATTGGGGAATCTCGAGGTGCTGCTGCTGTTCAAGAACAACTTCTCCGGCCCCATTCCGGCGACATGGGCTCAAATGGATTCGTTACAGATTCTCGATTTATCCGACAACAACCTCTCCGGTGAAATCCCCGGCGGATTATCATACCTGAAGGAGATCAACACGCTGTCGTTGATGAACAATAAGCTGACCGGTGAAATTCCAGGTGGCATCGGCGAGCTTCCCAACTTAGAAATCTTGTCTCTGTGGAACAATTCTCTTACAGGAATTCTACCTCAGAAACTCGGCTCAAACGCCAAGCTACAAAAACTCGACGTCTCTTCGAATTCGCTGTGGGGCCCGATTCCTCTGAATCTCTGCCTAAGCGATAAGCTGTTAAAACTCGTGCTCTTTTCGAACCGACTCTCCGGCGAGATTCCGGCGTCGTTAGCGAATTGCACGGCCTTAAACCGTGTGAGGATTCAGAACAACATGCTCAATGGCTCGATACCGTTTGGATTTGGTTCGTTGCCTAATCTTACTTACTTTGAGCTAAGTCAAAACAGATTATCCGGACCGATTCCGAAAGATCTCGGCAATGCGGTGAAATTGGCGTTCTTGAATATATCGGCGAACAATTTCGATTCCGAGCTGCCGGACAACATATGGAGCGCTCCGAGTTTGCAGATTTTTTCCGCAAGTTCTTCGAATCTCAACGGTAAAATCCCCGATTTTATCGGGTGCTCGAGTTTTTACAATATCGAATTGGACGGAAACAATCTCAGCGGTAGCATTCCGTGGGACATCGGCCACTGCGAGAAGCTGATTTCGTTAAATTTACGTAGAAATTCACTGACGGGAATCATCCCGTGGGAGATTTCCGCACTCCCCGTCATTACAAACGTCGATTTATCGAACAATTCTCTCACGGGAGCGATCCCTTCGAATTTCAACAACTGCAGCACGCTCGAGAATTTCAATGTGTCGTACAACCGCCTGACGGGGCCCGTACCCTCGTCGGGGTTACTATTCTCCGTTCTTCACCCGTCCTCGTTCGCCGGGAACGAAGGCCTCTGCGGCGGGATTTTAAACAAATCCTGCCGAACAGACGGGCTGGCGGAGGGTCCCGTCGTGGAGGCCCGTCGCCAGCCCAAGAGGGCGGCCGGGGCAATCGTCTGGATAATGGCGGCGGCTTTCGGCATCGGCCTATTTGTCCTGATCGCGGGCGCCCGTTTCTTCAAGGCGAAATACGGACGTAAATTTTCCAACGACCGTGAAATCGGCCCATGGAAGCTAACAGCTTTCCAGAGGCTGAATTTCACGGCGGACGATGTTCTGGAGTGCCTCAACACGACCGATAAGATCCTCGGCATGGGGTCCACGGGCACGGTGTACAAGGCTGAGATGCCAGGTGGCGAGATCATAGCGGTCAAGATACTCTGGGGGAAGAACAAGGACAATATCGCCACAATCAGGCGGAGGAGAGGAGTGTTGGCCGAGGTCGATGTGTTGGGCAACGTGAGGCACCGAAATATAGTTAGATTGTTGGGTTGTTGCAGTAACAACCAATGCACGATGTTGTTGTACGAGTACATGCCGAACGGGAGCTTGGACGATTTATTGCACGGGAAGAATAATAAGTGCGACAATTTGGTGGCCGATTGGGTGACTAGGTACAAGATTGTGCTCGGCGTGGCGCAAGGGATATGTTATCTTCACCACGACTGTGATCCCGTGATCGTTCATCGGGATTTGAAGCCGAGTAATATTCTATTGGACGGTGAAATGGAGGCTCGAGTGGCCGATTTCGGGGTCGCGAAGTTGATTCAGACCGACGAGTCGATGTCGGTTATTGCCGGATCTTACGGTTACATTGCCCCCGGTATGGTTTCTTAATTAATTAATTAATTAAATTTATTTATTTTGGTTGACTTAGATATATTATGGATCATGTTACTTTAATTTGTGTTATCAATATATGACATAGAATACTATTGTGGTGGGGGTGGGGTGAAGCATGCTTTTCTAATTTCTTGTTGGGTTTTTATGTAATATGTGGTCACTTTTGGATTTTTAGTTCTTTGTGTAGGGTGACGAAATATGTGCCTCCCCCCTGCGTGTATAATGTGATACAATTTTGTTTTCTACCTATTTTTTTAATTTTTTATAACAAATAAAACCCATTTGGTCCTTTTTTTTTGTTGTTGTCAATTGTCAACTCCATTACCACCAATCCATTCTGAACACTTTCGGCGCCAAAAATAATACAATCTAAATTAAAAAAATATTCTGTTGATGAAGTTTGTTCCTTTATTTAATTATTTTTTTTCATTTATAAAAGGAT